GTGAGAACATACTAGAGACATTGATAAGAGTTACAACAAGGATTTACTAAATGGTATTATATTGGGAATAAATGGATGAGTGAATTGGACCTGACATCTGTTGATGTGGCATGAAGTATTTTGTGAAATATTTGAATTTCCCCCAAGAGTGAAACACTTATTTCATGGAGGGGTCTCTATGACCACCACCACCAGCACCCACCCACCCATTTCATATTGATTACCACCTTGGGAGAAGATTCCCATGAAGTTAGACAGCTTTAAACAGGCTCAACTTGATTTGTCATTCCTTGCCTGGGTTTTATATTGTCTGGCCTTAATTCAGTTTCCCTTCCTTTAATTTATTAATTTCCCCTGTATAAAAATGAATGTTGAAAGTGACACAAATGCAAGTTGGCAAACGCCAGATCATTTGCATGTATTAAAAAGGAAGCTGAATTTTTAAAAAGTCATTGCCATTGTAATTCTTGTTTCAGTCAGTTCTAGTTACGGATGATGAAGCAAGCCCATATGAGCTTTGTTCCCAAATCACAGAAATAATATTTGGAAAATCTCCTTCTCTCAGTGGAATAAATACTGGAGTTCATCCAAGTCTTCAGCTACCAGCATAACTTGTCCCAGTGTTTCCATCAATTTACAACTCTTTAAAAACATTTCTTAGATGCAGTAATCTTTACTGCAGTGTCCATGTTCCATCTCATAACAAGCATTGTCCATGGTCCATCTCTTCCTCATTATTTTCAATTACCTTTTTTTTAGTTCAAGGGCTGCACCTCAAAAGGTGGGTGGGGTCAAGATAAAAAGTAAATAAGAGTAATACAGTTACATCATCTGTATTTAATAATTCTCACCCTTTCTCATATTAAAAATATAATTGATCAGAATCTTGAAAAGCTATAAATGCTACGCCCAAGACTTTTTGGTAAGATAAAGCACATAGCCCTAGAACACCTCTATACTATAACTAAACTGTGATTCATTTAATACCACAGTGTTATAAGAGGACTCAAAGGTCAATCTACTCCAAAACCCATAGGATTAGACCTTCTGGTTCAGGAACTTGGTCGTAGATGCTTTCTCAAGGAATGATAGAGATGGCTGGGACAAAGATTTATTGAAAACAGATTAGCAGCCATGTAAGACAACTGAATGCCACTGAACATCCATGAAGATCTCATAACATACAAGCAAGTCATTCTATCCTGTTTCCTATGTCTTTCTTTAGCTAGTCCACATCCAGCTTTTCATTTCTCAGCCATCTACCCCTTTGGAGACTGTAACTTCTCTGCATCCTCAACCTTCTTCCCCACAGAGTTAGACAAGCTTTTTCCTTTCCAGTGCTCAGACCCATAAGCCCCACAGATGACTGTGGAGATCCTGCAAATGAAACCTATAGAGAATGCCTCAAGATGCTGTTCTTCAATGACCTGCAGGTAAAAATATACCACCTTTGACCATTTTTCCTGATACAAGGGTCCTCCAGATAGATTTCAATAATTTTATTGAAGATTATATAAAACAGATAAAACTGGTACAAAAATCAAATACAAAAATAGGTTAAAAAATATAAGACAGTGCAAAGAAAAAGAAAAAAAATCCACCCCACCAAGAAAAAGAAGTAGTAAGAAGAAGAAACTTTCCCCTTCATCCCCAGCAAGTATATACAACATTAACAACTTATCACTGTCTCTTAAAATACTACCCTAAATGCTTATGCTGCTAGCTACATATTTCTGTTGATTTTTACACCTTTTGTTGATTAATAAGGAGAGCTGAGGATTTAGAGATGGGTAAAAATCCACCCCACCAAGAAAAAGAAGTAGTAAGAAGAAGAAACTTTCCCCTTCATCCCCAGCAAGTATATACAACATTAACAACTTATCACTGTCTCTTAAAATACTACTAAATACATCTTCATTCCATACTTCACCCCATTTTCTACAAACCCATCTCTAAATCCTCAGCTCTCCTTATTAATCAACAAAAGGTGTAAAAATCAACAGAAATATGTAGCTAGCAGCATAAGCATTT